AATTTAGAAACGCAAGAAAATCTCACGCGTTAAGTGCGATAGCTCAGCGCGAATGATTATGCTTGTTTTTCAATCTGCGTGTCGTTAGGTCTTGAATCTCTTGGTAACTGGAGTACCACATGACAAATAAATGAAAAAAAGCTTAAAAATACCGTGCATCGAGCTTGTTTATTCATCGCAAAGCTCTTACGTTAATCGCATTATTATCTAAGATGACAACATAATTATTCTTAATCCCTTCAACGTCCTCAGCACTAAAAGTTAAAGTAGGCGGTACGGTTCAGCATGGTAAGCGTAATAGATAAGCAGAAGGACCAATTTTTTTTTTTTTTTTTTACTTTTTTTTTTTCTATGAAGCAACATCTACTAAATTTTAAAACTACTTTGAGATAAAAATAAAATTTTTTAAAAAGAAAAGCGCATCTCATGCATTTACTTGGTCTAATTTATTCATTTCCTCAAACTTTATAGTTTTATTAACTTCAATTAAAATAAATTAATAAATGAAAACAAGATTAAACGCGTCAATTGCGTTTATGCGGCACACCTCTCTAACGTGTAAGATTTTACTAAAAAAGGATCAGCATTTAATCCATACAAAGCTCTATCGTCTGAAACTCTCCAACGTCCTCAGCATTACAAGTTAAAGTATGTGGTGCAGTCCAGCATGGAAAGCGTGTTTGATCAGCAAAAACCTGCATTTTTCTTATCTTTTACTTTGAAAAAAAAAAAAAGATCTTTTATTTTTTATGGAAGAGGTTTTCTATTAATCATTACATCAATATACGTTATCAAGAAGTTAGTTATGCTTGTATTTTGTAGAATCGAAATAAAGACCAGGGTTTAGCTACGTTGGTAAGATGAAAACTCTGGATTTTTATATCTTATGGTCGAATCCGTCGGATGTAAATTTTTGTTATTCGGTACACGAAGTGCCCGTATTCGAATTTGCCTTTAAGCGGGCGTTTATGTCCGTGCTGGTTAGACTAACTTGCTTACAAATAATAACTTTCTTAAAAATCAGCTAGGCTCATTAGGACCTTGTTTTTCGTGAAAAATCGATCGTTTGCACTCCATTAATATGATTTTTTACAACCTGTTACAGCTTTTAGAGTAGATAAAAAATGAGGCAGTCAAAGAGTCCGGTAGGACCAGCAATGAAACTAATTTTTTTTCTAAACACGCCAAATATATTTAATAATATAATGCCAGTCCGAAGCCTGGGAAAAGTGTGAATTAAAGAGATTTCCTCCCCAGCAGATCAAACAAACAAACTCCTGTTTACTAGACAACTGCTCTACCACTTGAGCTTCCGAGGAGCCATACATTTAATCACACCGTAGGTTCAGATAGATTATCACTCTTAATTTTTGAGTTGTTTTTACACCTCGAACTCGATATAATAGGTATACAGCTCTAATACTTGTAGATTAGTTAAAAATTTAATATGATTCTAATAGGTATACAAGCAATATTGATACACTTACCATCGTATCAATAAAGAATGAGAACTAAACCTACGGTGCAAGTGGATATGTAGCTCCTCGGTAGGTTAAGTGGAAGAGCAGCTGTCNTTCTACAGTATACAAAAAATTTAAATTTTAGCTTTAAGTAGATCAACGTTAAAAGATGAAGAGTTTTACTGAGTATTCGAGCTCATCGCATGAGACCCTCTCACTTTCTGGTTTTTTTCATCAGGCGATGCATGTTCAAAAAAATTTGAATTGAATTGTTTATCTGTAAAATTTACTGAGAAAAAAATATGCACTGAATAAGCGTAGTAGACGTGCGTAATCATATCTCAAAAATCAGATGTCCAGTTAAAATACTTCGGCCTTGCTATTTGAATTTTGCGCTTGTACGGTAACCGATCAAACCTCTGCAGTCGGTAACCTTGTCTCCTGGCATACCTATTACCGCCTTCTCCGTAAAAGAATTTAGCTATGCATAGTTGCCCCTCCACAGTGCTTAAGCCCCACCTAGTGATTGGAGGAATTGATCGATTATTATATCAACAATATCTCGTTAATTATCCATCGAATCCAAATTTTGTAAAAAGCTTTTCAAGAGCTTTTGATGAGCTTTATCTCGTGGTATAGTTTTCCGGGCTCAAAATCAGAACACCCAGTATACATTTGTGCCTATTGATAGGATGATAAATGTATCAATATTGCTTGTATACCTATAAGAGCCACATTAAATTTGGTAATTTGGTTAAGCTGTTGAAGATTACTAAAGCATCAAGGAGAGAATGATAAGTATCGATTTTTTGACTTAATAGTAGCGAAGGAGAAAAGGGAAACAAAAGAGTATAAGATATCATACAGTTAAACATTTTGTGAATGACAAGTAGATATACAATACAGTTTCATAAAAATATACACAAGGCAAATTTAGTGACTTTTTATGAAACTGAGTTTTGCTGAAAAAATTTGCCAAGATTTAGTTTCTGATTTAAAACGAAAAAATCTTATTGTAATCAAAAGTGACAATATATTGGAAAAGAGAGAAGAATTGTAAAATAATTTTTTATCCATATTAATAAGATACTTTAATGGTAATAAAAAATATATAAACAAATTTATGAAATAAAAGAATGCAAAAAGAGACTAAGAACAGAGACTATTCACTGATTCTTAACTAGGTAGTCCAGAAGCAGTTTCACTTATAACAGAAGTCAATTTGGTAAGTCCTAAAATTAATTAAGCTGTTATTAAGGAGTATTGCGCTTCGATTAGCGTAGTCTTGAAAAAAAAATTTCCATACTATAATGTAAATGAGAAATCGGTCTACAAAGGGTTTCACTCAATACCCCTATATCTTGACTTTATAAAACATTGGAGACAGCAAAATTGATTTTAAAAAAACGAAGGTCCAAGAGAAAAATCTTATAACGCCCAGTGGTAAAAAAATATCTTAGTTACTCGAATATTATAGTAGTCCAGAAGATAAATACAAATAGATTGAATGAAGTTTAAAGCTCTTTGTTTTATAAATGTTTATCAATAAAAAAGTAAGATTTTCAACATGTGTTTGTTTTGACTTCAACATAAAGAATTTTTTTTTTCGTTTAGTTCTTCAGCAAATGAGTTTTTTACAAAGATGTAGAAAATCTGAAATCATCTCTTTCTCAGTAAAGTATTTTTTTATAAAGACCTTTTTTTTTGTATATTTTACTACATTGTTGTTTTCTGTCAAATATTTATTCAAAACTTTTTGAATCGTTGTTTTGAGTTCCTCGAATGTAAGAAAATTTTTTTTTACCATACTACCGTACCTAAATAATTTTATAACTAATCAATGATTTAAAAATCGTGCTCCTAATTACCGTATGGATGATCCTATTACCGCACTCCATCTACCGTACGTGTTCCTATTACCGTACACCAATTACCGCTTGATGACAAATACGAGTATAACCTCAATTTCAGCGTGTAACGGCATTTATACTTGATCGTTTCTGTTCTTGTATCCATCACTATAAAAGAATAAAAGAAAGAGGAGAATAAAAAATCTAAAGCAATCGCAAGTGTGTGATTCTCAAGTGACAAAGAAAAAAACCACAATGAAAATTGTGATTCTAAATTGATTGTATTAATTATTATGGTCGAGTCATATTTCAAGGTATTACTAAATTTTATTGTTCACATTATTTTGTGTACAGTTTAAAGTCTAAACCTTCTTCACATGTTGCATAAAAAACCTTTTACGTGTTAGTTATTTCCAAGTTTTGTTCTTTGATAGGTTTCATAAAAGGCCTTTAATAACGTATCAGTGTTAAATATTTTTATCATTAATAGAGAAACAAAAGTTTAGTGAAACAATTTTTTACTTTCGAAATAATAAATAAATCTGTAATATAAGAATAAATAAGATCAAATATACACGTAAAAAAAACTAGAATTGAGGTTATACTCGTATTTGTCATCAAGCGGTAAGTGGTGTCTGGTAATAGGAACACGTACGGTAGATGAAGTGCGGTAATAGGATCAGCCATACGGTGATTAGGAGCACGATTTTTAAATCATTGATTAGTTATAAAATTATTTTGGTACGGTAGTATGGTAAGAAAAATTTTTCTTACGTGCAAGGAACTCAAAACAACGATTTAAAACGTTTTGGATAAATATTTGACAGAAAACAAAGATGTAGTAAAATATACAAAAAAAAGTAGGTGCATAACTTTACGGTAATGGGTACGTTTACCCCTGTTAATATTTTAAGAAACAATTGGATTATACCAGTTGCAACAAATGGAACCATTGATACAAGAAGGAACATAATTTTTTGACTTGTTGACACACCACTTGTCGCACGAGTAGGTAATCATTGTAAACTAGGAGTATCAGCTGATGGCCATATATACGGAGTAACCGTAGAAGCATTGTCGCACACAGTTAATAGAAGATGTGAATTTAATGGTTAAAAATTTTTTAATTTTTTTTTAATCACTTTCAAATTTAGTAGAAAAAATTTTTAATAAAACAGGAGCTCTTTTCTCGCTGGAAAATTTTCATTGGATAAAGATCGTAGTACACTTTTTTTTGTGATCTTAGTTTATTTATCACAAAAATCTTTCTATAAACGTTACCTAAAAAAGAGTGTATTCAATTATCCAAAATTGTTTTCCTTTTTGAATTATTAGTTATTCAAGTCTAACTGTCAGCATTACTGAGNTAACAGTTTCTCTCCAAGTACACATAAATAAATAAAAAAAATTTTTTTCGAGATTATTACATGAAGGTCGATTTTCATGACCATTCAAAAAAGCACAGTAGTTCGTGTATAAGACTTGGAAGAACTATATTAGATATAAGGATCATTTTCTATTATTTGCTACTTTAGTGCATATTTCAAGTAGAAGAGTCAGGTTTCAACACAAATATAAGTAAGATTCGTAGGAAGCAAATAATTGTAAAAGTAAGGAAATAAATTGAGAAAGTTATTTAAATATGTTTTAAAAATTTATCTTATTTATTTAATATGTAAAATAATCATACCTCCAACGGTAAATATGTATGTTTGTGCTCTTGACCAACTTGCAGGCAAGGAAGATGTGGGTAACGTAGTTTCATTTTATACTTATCTAAAAAGTATTTGGAAACTGTACATTCGACAGTTTGCCCATTTTCCAACTGCAAGGGAAAGCTGAAAAAGAATTCAAAGTACATCTTATTAATAGTGTTTGTAATTTATTCTTTCGTATAGAATTCAAACAATTTCTGAAACTTGTCATGCTGCATGATTTCTGAAAGCACTAAATATAATTGATACTATTACCAAAAGTTTAGGTAAAAGTTTTGTTCAAAATATGTACGAAAAAATAACTGTCAGGTATTTGAATACTTTACGTTTGGAAGGATTTTAGATATGGAATGTTAAACCAGCAAACATTTCTGACACACAAAAATGTAAGATAAAAAAATTTCAAAGACTGGGTTGCTTCACATGTGACGCACCACAGAAGTAAAAACTTCGAAAAGAATCGTGATATATATGAATTAACAGAAAGAGCAAGAGTTTGTTATTGAAAGTGAGGGGTTGGGAGATATTAATGTATTGGTACAATAACAAAAAAATAAATCTAAACACAAATGGAATAATCTTTTTATAAGGATGTTCATTGATGTGGGTTCTACAAAATGCATAGTACTTACACTGTGGCCATAAAGGTCCAGTATTGTGATAAGCACATTGACATAATGTTCATAAATAATAAAATTGCTTATTGAAATTGCACACACGCAAGCTCACATACAAGTAGTTATGTTTTATGAATCTATCTTTCTGTAAACGATTTTTTTAGTTTGCTTAATAATTTTTTTAGATTATTTTCGGGCAAAAATATTGAAAAATATCTCATTTACTTTTGTTACAATTTTTCACGTATACTGCAATTTTTTCTAGAATTTTCTACATTGATTTTATAGAGAAATATCAAAAATACTGAAACTTGAGGTCAAATCTTCACATAACTTAACACCTTACTATTTGTGTCACAATTTTTTTTCCATTACAAACCCAAGTAAAATCATTCTATTTGGTATACTTTGCTATCTTTTAAAAATATGGCGTATTTCTTTAATGTTTGGAGGTTATTATAAACACACGCACGATCATGAAAAATTATACTTGCATTATTGTTATTCTATACTGCAAGGGGGCACTTCTATCACCTAGAATTTATAATACACGCTTTGCATTTATATTTATATTCTTCTATTTATTATATTTTCTTGTCATAAAACATCCGTCTAATAGACAATTCAACAGTACACATTTATTTTATACATATATTTCATTTCTATTTGAAACACGAAAATTCAAATTTGAACGCCGCGCGCGGGGAATGTGCGTCTAGTACGTTAAGAAAACGCTAGAGCGCGTTCATCCAAAGAAGGGAAAACCTGCTACTCAAAAGGAAAAAACGTTAGCATGAAAGGCACCAGCGCGCAATGTAAAAAAGGGCGAGTCCTCTTTCAGCGAGCCTGGGACGCGGAAAATCCGTTGCTCACCCAGACCTGGAACTTTCCCGTGCACCGGTACATTACCGCGACGAGCACAAAGGGAGAGAAAGAGACGAAGTACGAAGGCTGATAGCTGAAAAGTAAGTTTGTACACTACCCACAGGTAACACTTCCACTAACCGGTTTCTACTTGGACTTTCGGTGCTCGACCGCTTTAAGCGTGGAGACGACGCATCCCCAAGTAATCAAGGCACTAGGGTTAGCGACCACGTTCTTAGGCGAAATTCCTGGGTCGACGACTTGAGCAGTGCTCAAGACACCCAAGGGCCCTGAGAACGACCTAACCTTACGTGACTTGGTAGGATAGGTAGTTACCTAACATAAACCTTCCGTGGATATAATAAAAATTCGTATTAGTCTAACCTAACGTGTTTAAGCAGAGATATTAAGGAGGGAAAATTCAAATCGTCATTTATGTAAAATTCTTTATTAAAAAGGCGGATAAATTTTAAGTAAATTATCGAGTATATTATATATTTTCTTTTTTCATTATTAACGTAAATTATCGCGATTACTCAAATGTAATTAATACACGTAAAAATTAAAGATACAATTTCCTTAGAATCATATGATTGAATAAATATAAGATAATTAAAAATAAATTGATTGTACTTATTTAAGCAAACCTTCCCCTCCACGTATGATTGCGAGTTCCTTTTATAGTTAAAGATAAAAACTAGAAAAATAGCTGTTAAATTTCAAATCGTTTGTATAAACTGAGAATATTATCTGTACCCCAAAAAGGGGCAGGAATAAATTAAAAAAGATATTAGATTAGGAAAATATTGAATAAGTTAAAAAAGATATTAAATTANTAAGGGAATATTCAGGGAACGATGAGAATTCAATAAAGTAATAATCAAAAAACAATTGCTGTATATTGTGCAGGAATTAATTGATTATTCAACAGATAAATTTTAAAACTTGATAATAATTATTTTAAATATTGTATATAATCGGCAATCTGAGCAACTTCGCGCCTTTACACAGGGCAACGAACCCGCCCTCCGATATATAAACACTAACATTGTTTGTGTGTTGGTTCCTAATCTTAGAGTCTCCTCGGTACAGATAATATTCTTAGCCGATTGTTACCACCACCAATTAACCGGGGTTATACTCAAAGAAAGGGAAGTCGTAGTACTAAACGTAATATAACTTTTTCCATAATTTCCCCCTTTTATAGGTACATTGAAAACATCAAAATTTGAGGTTGTTTTTACATAATTCAACGCTTTTTCTGTGCACCATGACTTTTTTCCCTTTAAAGAACCGGTACTACACGTTATTTTTACTCTATCTTGCTTTCTTTTGAAAAAACAGCGTATTTTTGAATATTTGGAGGTTATGCGTACGCACAATTATGAAAAGTAATTTCTGCATTGTTGTAATTCTGTACTAAATCTAATACAATTTTTTTCATAATATTTTCCCTTTACTTTATGAAGATGTATCAAAAAAATTAAGAATTGAGGTTATGTTTTGACATAACTTAACACCTCTCTTTTTGTGTGCCACGATTCCATTATTCCTTTTAGGAAACCCGTAAGACTCGTTGTTTTTGTTCTATCTTGCGTCCTTTCAAAGATATGGCATATTTCTAAACATTCGGTGGTTACGTCATATTACAACAACCCGTTTACCTACTACTAGCTATCTGCAACGATCCACCACACATGCAAAAATTGTTTGGTAATTTACGTTATTACAATAATAGTATTGACCGGTCTATATAGTATTAATATTAACTACTATATTATATACACATATGCTTGCAGGTGCACAAGTATACAGTTACACAGTAGAAGTAAAAAGTACATACACACACTCACCATTCATGCGCACTTTCATAGTTTTATCTATGATTTTGCATGGAGGAATGTACATACCATATAAAGTTGTAACTGAAACGATGGGGATGAAAAAATAACATACTAGCCCCTTATTTCATACAACTAGTCGCATATATTTTAAGACTGTCCTAGATTATATTAAAAACAGCTGATGAGTCGATTTTATACTTGTGCCAGCTCAAGTATTTCAGCGACGTTGGTACAGGATTTTTCGGTACCACAGTGAGTCTTGATATTTCGTATACTGCGCGTGTCTTTTTACAATGCGCGGCGCACGCAGTGTAAATGTATTTCAATATACCAAATATACTGAATTAAACACCTCTATAGCTTTTAGCGCACGCGCGTATATGCATGCGTATGTATATAAATGTACATATATCTATACATTGTACATGCGAGAGTTCTGCTTTCGCATGGCCGAGTCAGATCTTACCCGAACAGAAATGAAAGTCCTTTTATCTTCCTTCTCGAATAGTATATATAGTTATGTCAGCTACAGTTGCAGTGTAAACTGTAGCGTAAAATTACACACGGGTATACACGGGTCTTTCATTGAGTCCTATACAAATGATTAATGAGTATTCTTATACTATGTGAAACTGACAAAATTAATCGACATTAAATTTGTTGTCAGCTAAACAAAGTTTCTCAAAGTACTCAATTAGAAATGATAATTGGTGCATCAAAAAACTTCAATAAAAACTATTTAAAAACCGTACTAAAATTATGAAATTTAACATTTAACAGCTTGTACACTGTCATTTAGATGTCCACCGTCAAATCAAGTTCATCTATCATTTAATTAAATCAATATGTTTTTGTATGAAAAAAAAGTAAACTGCAGTGTGAGCATGTAATTTGTATTAATTCTTTAGTGATTATTTAACAGTTCCCCAGAACTAACTCGCGAATCACATGTTCATATTGTAAACTTGATATCAATTGTGAATGAGAGATATTTTTAAGGTGAGATATATATCTTCATTTATGTAAAATTTCTATTTATTTTAGGGTTATATTTTTGTAACTACACGTAATCAACAATGCCGTGATGAAAAATTTTCATGAAGAAATTAAATATGATTCGTTTAAAATGAAGCATGACTTTTGTTCAATTATAATACAATGTGTACTCTCATATGTACATATCTATATTTATCGATTGAAAGGTGGTTATGTTACGTCAATGGAGGCAGCCTACTTAGGGCCTACCAAACGCCACCTGACGCTGCCAACGTAGGACCTCAGTTGGCAAGAGAGGCAGCCTAAATAGGCCCTACTGATCGCCTTTTTACAATTTCCGTTCGGGTATACTGGTACAGGAAAAATCCGTGACACTCATCGGATTTTGTAGAACTGAGCATAAGATATAGTTCGACTCAACGTAGTACATTAAATTATACTACCAGTACAGACGACATCAGCACTAGAATCTGATCTTATTATAATAGACTACAGAAAAGAGTTGTACTATTATATAGTACGGGTTTTTTATGGTATGTACATTCCTCCGTGTGTAGACTACGTTCGAGTATGTATACATGCAAGCTGCACACAGTCACACACTACAACACGGCAATAAAAATATACATAATACTACATGCTGACTATAATTATATATGTAGCAAAATCCGAAGGCAAACGATGAGACTCGAGCGCCACCGAGTTGCAGTATATACATGTATGTACATACGTACGTACGTTTCTACCGTTTAGTCCGTAATCGAGGCACGTCTAAAGAAGTCTTCATTTCAAAAAATTTCAA